TTTTTTTTTGAGTCAAGGTCTCACTCTGTTGCCCAGGCTAGAATGCAGTGGTAGGATCTCAGCTCACTGCAGCCTCGAACTCCCAGGTTCAATTGATCCTCCCACCTTAACCTCCTGAGTAGAGGGGACTACAGGCGTCTACCACCATGCCTGGCTAATGTTTGTATTATTTGCAGAGACGGAGTTTTGCCTTGTTGCCCATGCTGAAATTTTTTGTTTTCTTTTTTGAGACAGGGTCTTACTCTGTCACCCAGGCTGGAGTACAGTGGTGCAAACATGGCACACTGCAGCTTCCGTCTCCCCTGGGCTCAAGTGATGCTCCCATCTCAGCCTCCTAAGTTGCTAGCACTACAGACACATGCCATGTTGCCTAGGCTGGTCTCAAACTCCTGGGCTGAAACAATCTGCTCACCTTGGCCTCCCAAAGTGGTGGGATTACAGGCATGAGCCACTGTACCTGGCCCACAGATTCTTATTGAGGCTTCTGTAAGTAGGCAGTTAATGCTCTATTGTCACCATTTCCCACTGTAATTTTTATAAATACCAGTTGTTTGGCCAATCGACTTCTGACTATTTGCTAAACTGGGAAAGAGTAATGATGATCCCAAATGTCTAACCTCATTGCTTGCCTTTATACAGAATCCTCACCATGGATGGGCTCATTGAGGACATTAAACGTCGGCGGTATTATGAGAAGCCATGCCGCCGGCGACAGAGGGAAAGCTATGAAAGGTGCCGGCGGATCTACAACATGGAAATGGCTCGCAAGATCAACTTCTTGATGCGAAAGAATCGGGCAGATCCGTGGCAGGGCTGCTGAGGCCTGTGGATGGGACACCCAGTGCGAAACCCTCATCCAGTTTTGTCTTCATCTCTTTTCTTTGTACAATCCCATTTCCTAAACTCAAATCACATGTCTGCAAAAAGGCCTCCAAATATAGAAACAATTCCATTAGTCAGCAGTGGACCCTGTCTTTTATTAAGTGAAAGAAAAAACTGAGTCTGAAAGTAGTCTAGGAGTAGAATGGTGTTTGCTGGAGCTGGAGGAGGGGGCAATGAGGAATTATTGTTTAATGGGCACAGAGTTTCAGTTTGAGCAGATGAAAAACTTCAGGAGATGATGGCCAGGCACGGTGGCTCATACCTGTTATCCCAACACTTTGGGAGGCTGAGGCGGGTGGATCACTTGAGGCCAGGAGTTTGAGACCAGCCTGGCCAATGTGGTGAAACCCCATCTCTACTAAAAATACAAAAAAAAAAATTGACTGGGTGTGGTGGTACATGCCTGTAGTCTGAGACACTTGGGAGGCTGAGGCAGGAGAATTGCTTGAACTGGGGAGGCGGAGTTGCCAGGCCAGCCAAGATCCATGCCACTGCCTTCACCTGGTGACAGGTGAGACTCGCCATCTCAAAAAAAAAATAAAAAAAACAACGGAAAGGATTGAGGATGGTGATGGTGGTTGCCTCAAAAAGATGAATGGTCTTAATGCCATAAACCTTACCCTTAAATGTTGTTTGTTTTTTTTTTTTTGAGACAGGAGTCTCGCCTCTGTCCGCCCCAGGCCTGAGTGCAGTGGCGGATCTCGAGCTCCACTACAAGGCTCCGCCTCCCGGGTTCCGCCATTCTCTGCCTCGCCTTCCTGAGTACTGGGACTACAGTGCCCGCCACCACGCCCGGCTGTAGTTTTTTTGTATTTTTTAGTAAAAGAGGGGTTTCACCGTGTAGGCCAGGAGGTCCTTGTCTCCTGACCTCGTGAATCTGCCGTCTCTCCTCGCCAAAGTGCTGGGATTTACAGCTTGAGCCACCGCCGCCCGGCCCTTAAATGTTTTAAGATGGTAAATTTTTCTTTTTTTTTTTTTTTGAGACCGGAGTTGGCTCTGTCCCTTGGCTGAGGAAGTGCGGATCTCTGGCTCACTGGCGCTTCCGGCCTCTGGGTTCCCCGCCATTCTCCTGCTTCAGCCTCCCAGGTAGGCTGGACTGGCAGGCAACCCTACAGCGCCCGGCTAATTTTTGATTTGTGAGCAGGGTTTCCGTCGTCTGGCATCTCCTGACCTTGTTGATCCGCCCGCTCGGACTCCCAAAGTCTGGGTAATTTACAGGCGTTGGCCACCGCCACCCGGCGTAAGATGGTATTTTTATTGTTACTACAATCAAAAACTTTTTGGCAAGTTAGGAGAATAGGGATTGTTTTCTTTTTTCTTTTTCCTTTTTTTTTTTTTTTAAGAGGAGAGTCTCACTCTATGTCCCCAGGCGGAGTGCAGTGGGTTCAGTCTAGTCACTGCAACCTCCTCCTGGTCAAGTGATTTCCTGCTCCGGCCTCCCGTTGTGGACTACAGGACGTTCCACACGCCGCGCTTTTTTATTTTTAGTAGAGACGGGTTCACCATGTTGTCCAGGACTTGTCTCGAGGAGCCCGGACGTCAAGGATCCGGGCCCACTCGGCCTCCCAAAGTGTTGGGATTACAGGCATGAGCCACCGCACCTGGCCGGAAATTTTTTTTAATATATTGAAATATGTCTACCATTTCCTACCCAATTTTTTTGAATCCCCAAGCAAAATCTTACTGAGAAAGCATCTATTACTTTTTATTAAACTGTTCCCTGTTAGATAGAGAGGAGAGGATGCATGTATGTATTTGGAATAAATTCTGCTTCTGAAAACACCTATCAACCAGACTGGAGTGCTGGAATCCTTGCCCAAAGAAGTTCTTAAATCTACCCTAATGTTCATTCCTGTTTTCTGTCCTTTTAGTTTTCTTAACGGAGACTTAAGAGAGGGATGATGGGCTGGGCACAGTGGCTCACGCCTGTAATCTCAGCACTTCGGGAGGCCAAGGTGGGTGGACCACGGGGTCAGGAGATCGAGACCACCCTGGCCAACATGGTGAAACCCCGTCTCCACGAAAAATACAAAAATTAGCTGCGCGTGGTGGCGCACGCCTGTAGTCCCAGCTACTTGGCAAGCTGAGGCAGAAGAATCGCTTGAACCCGGGATGCGGAGGTTGCAGTGAGCCGAGATTGCACCACTGAACTCCAATGTGGGCGACAGAGTGAGATTCCATCTCAAAAAAAAAATAAAAGGGATGATGGAGAAGAAATAAAGCAATAGATGGGTGGGACTCAGTAGACTGTAGGAAAGAGGGAATGGAGTGTTGAGAGAGAATGGCACAGAGCCAGAAATACCCAACAAGCAGTGCTTTTCAGTGTCAGATCAGCAGCATCAGTTTCACCAGAGGGATTGCTTGAAATGCAGATTATGGGACTCGACTCTAGAGCTTCGATATTGGAAATTGAGGTTGGAGCCCAGCAATCTATTTTCACAAGCCTTGCAGGTGATTGTGATGCCTGCTAGAGTTAGAACCACTGCCCTTTGCAGTACTCAAAGAGACTTCATGTGGAGGTTCGCACCATCACTGCCTCTACCCAGCAGGCACTCCTGATTATGTTACTCTTGACAGCTGGGGAAACTGACCACTGTGGGAAGACAGCTACTCTGCTTTTTCTCCTGCTGTTTTCTCCACCATTGGTTGACTGACAGCTGTGCTGTTATTATAAGAGTTAGTGCCAGGCTGGGTACATGGCTGACACCTGTAATCCCAGCACTTTGGGAGGCTGAGGTGGGGGATCATGAGGTCAGAGGTTTTGAGACCAGCCTAGCCAATATAGTGAAACCCTGTCTCTACTAAAACTACAAAAAAATTAGCTGGGCATGGTGGCAGGCACCTGTAATCCCAGCTACCTGGAAGCTGAGGCAGGAGAATCGCTTGAACCCAGGAGGCAAAGGTTGCAGTGAGCCAAGATCGCGCCACTGCACTCCAGCCTGGGCGACAGAGCAAGACTCAGTCTCAAAAAAGTTGGTGTTGGCCGGGTGCAGTGGCTCACGCCTGTAATCCCAGGACTTTGGGAGACCGAGGCGGGCGGATCACGAGGTC